TTCGCAGACATCCTGCGCTTTGTAAAGTGACATGCAACTTTTTTAAAAACAAATGAACATGGCACGGAAGCACCACTGTTATGATGCAGCACCTGAAAAGAAAACACATGTTTGTTTCGTTTTAAAGTGGGGAAACGTAACGTTAGTTTCTCAGGTAGCTCATCTGATGCTTTCCTTACCGTGTTAGTAGGTTACAGACAGTGATAAGGTTGGCTACTTATTTTGGTTTTAATTTCATTTGAATTAGCTTAAGCAGCGTTTATATATATATATATATATATATATATATATATATATATATATATATATATATATATATATATATATATATATATTTTCAGTACAAAAGAACAGTTGCAAACAAGTCAGTGTCTAATGTTCATTGTTACATTGTGAGGACTTTTTTACTTAGCAGTTTTTCTTTAGAAAAATTAACATGTCTTCTTTCTCAGGAGAAAAAGAAGCCCGCACTTGACTTATAGTTTCTCCAGCAGTAGAAAAGGTGTGGATGATGCTTGCACACAAAAAATACCTGGTTGCCAAGTTTAACATTGGCATAGTGTCACTCACATTCCACCACCAGGTCACTGCATTCACAGAGGTTAGGGTAGACGGATTTACGCTGACTGGCTTTTTCCTCCTCACATCAGAGTCAGATGCTACTGTGAAGAAAATAAAAATAAAATAACAGTTAATATAAGGTTAGCTGTTTAACCAGCGGACCCAATGGATGAGCATAATTTTACAGGTTACAAGTGTAAGCTTTTGATTTAGCTAGCTATACAGCACTAAAATAATGCTACAAGGCTAACTCAGCATTTGTTGCAATAGACACAGACACAGTGCCGTCCTCGGCACTCTCTGATGAGGCAGAGTCTGGGGGGTGATACTTTGATTCACTCAAATTAGTCGTATTGCCAGCCTTAGCAACAATGACCTTTTTGCATGTATTGCATTGCGCACTATTGGTATCAGTCTTAAAAAAGTGAAAGCACACTTTTTACCTGGGTAAAGGGGTTCCACAACTCTCGCAACCAGTTCACAACAGATACACTTGAACCCTGGCTGTAGGCATGACCCCATATGTATTTTTCTTGGATAACCCAATCACGTTAAATGTTACAGCCAATCACCGAAACTTGGCACAGAAAGAGGAGGCATGTTTTGATACTCTGTAAAACCGAAGCATTTTGGTCGGTACCATAAAAGAACTGATGTTGGGTACGCAGCCCTACTCAAGTACGCTAAAAACATTCTCACTACTGGCATGAGAAAACAAGAATAATGTGGCCCTAATGACCGGATGCAAGCCACTTAAATATAGGCAGGAGCAGGTGGCTCAGATGAGAAACCGGGCACAATTGGACAGGTGAATGAAATGAATAATTAAACCATTCATCAGCGCCACAGTCATGACAGAGCCTTGGTATTTGACTTTAAATAAAATCTTCCATAAAATCAGGACTGTGAGACTGGCTTTTTTTTTTTTTAGGCCCTTTGTGCAAACCAGAAATGCTCACAAGAGCACCCTCTCCACAAAGTGGTATTTTGATCTTTCCTCTATATTGACATCAATCCTGGAGGGGTGCTAATAATTGCGTCAATTGCTGTCACTAATCCTTTCTCTATTCCATAGAAATTGGGAATTTCACAATTCAGAGACTCACCTGTAGGCAGTTTGTAGGTATTTTTGCTCGTGTAACTTTTCATATATTTTGTAAGAGACCAGGAAACAAACCATGGCTAACTGGAAATGCTGCTAATGCTACATCCAAAAGATGTCTCGAGTTAGTTAGGTTGTCCCCCAGTTTAGACAAAACTGAAGTGTTCCATAAGGGTCTCTCTTTGTCCACTATTTTGACTGCAGCCAGCAATTACCATTTACAAACACTAGATGACACTCTTCTTCTTACTTACTGTGACATAATCAATCAAGTCAGGTTAAAAAGACCATAGCTAAAGTTCTCACATTTTTGCAGATGTTTTTCTGCCTCTGGCAACGAGATGAATAATAACATTGTTGGAAAAGTGGAAAAGTTTCAGTTTGTTGCTTTGATGATAGGATTCCCTTTCTTATTCTAAGGACAGATCTTAGCTCCCATTATTTTTCGAGGAGCTAGCAGCATTTTAGCATTACATTAAAGCTCCAGAAAATGAACCCTCCTTTTTTTATATCAAACAGTTAAGAACAGTCTGAGTAACAACATTAATGACTGTCTTGTTTTCATCAGCACCTAAAAAGTTTTAAGGAAAGAAATTCAAAATTGTTTTACTTCAGTGTCTCTTCTTACCATTGTATTATATGTAAATAACCTAAACAAGTAAATCCTAATTAGGTGCATTGTTCTCTTTCTCCCTCTCTCTCTCTTTCTCTCCTCTCTCTCTTTCTCTCTCTCTCTCTCTCTACTGTTGAGGAAAACAATATTGCTTGGTGAAAGTACATTCAGCACATCATGTCATAAAGCTGTCAAGATTTTGGAGGTGCTTGGATGGCAAGCCTAACATATACACAAGTCAAATTCTCAAATGAGAATGAGCTCAGTTTATTCAATTGATTGAAAATGAATTTAAAGTATATTTAAGAAACATTGTATATGTAAAATTAGATTATGGATTAGGGCATACAGTCGTCCATGTAAGCCAAAAGTTTGAGCAGATCACCCTCATCGCATCTTTTCTGTGATTCTGTGTAAACTGAAAACAGGACTTCAGATATTTTCCAACAAAGGCTGCTCTGGTTCTCACCAGTCTTTCACAATGACCAGGTTTTAAAGAAAAACTGTACCTTATCTTGTTGTTCTCTAAAGTTCTTGTATAGAGCCTGTGATTCCAGAAACCGGTCAGCTTAATTTAAATGAGAAACATTTGGGTTTTGTGGCATTTAAAAATATGTCTGTGTGTGTAAAGGGCCAGAATACATTGCATGTATCATTTTTGTGATTTACCTAATCTTTGTCTTAATTTTGTCTCCCTCTGTTGGGCCCAGCTGCAGCATTCGTCATCATGACTAAAGAAGAGAATGTGCAGGAACAGGAGAAGGGGACGCATGAGGACGAGGAGCAGGAGGAAGCTAGGGTTCAGAGGGAGGAGGAGTTGACAGAAGAGGAGGAGGAAGAGGAGGAATATGAGCTAGAGGAGGAGAAATCCAAGGTAGAGAACGAGGAGGAAGGTGAGCAGGAGGGAGAAAGGGAGGAGCATGAGGAGCAGCAAGGGCAGGAGGATCCCCCAGTGGAACCAGAGACTGAGATGATCTCAGTTTCTGAGCATCAAAGTCCGGTTCACGAACCACCCCGCCGAGCCATGGTGCACCCCTCAGCCCAGGCCCCACTTCCCAAAGACTATGGTATGTTTTACCGCCTTAAATATGCCTTTGAAGAATGTACTGTGTCAATGCCGCTTTGAAAAGACATGGTTTACCTGAAGACCTTCTTAGATTTATCTTTTTTTAGTAATTGAATGAATATTAATTAAATAGAAGTAAGTCATGATTACAGATCTTTAAACTAATTCTTGGATAATGTATTTTATTTCAAAATCACCAATCAAGTTCAGAACAATTCAGTTTGAGTGATCCTACAAGTATTTAGTTCTAAAGCACAAAAAACAGTGAAATTGATTTTTACTTCTGTTAACTTTGTCTGTAGGATAGAGGAAGTTTTACCTCAGGTAACTGTTTCTGTGGAAATATGCTGTACAGCTCTGAGGAGCTCTGATTTCACCTTCTCATGCATTTAATTCACTGCAGATCAAAGTATTTGCTTATAATGGAGACGAAGAGACAAAGAAAGAAACTGATTGATGTATTTCTATCTAATACTATAGATATCATTTTTTTTTGTACTGCTGTCTGTCAAGAAGTCCTGACAGGCAAAGAGTAGAAAAGCAGCTTAAACAGTTTATCATGGAAGAGGAGGAATGATTATTTAAAAGCAGAGAAAACCACAATAAATTCTCTAATAAGAGATCATTATGTGACTTCTAGCTAGTGTCGGAAAGTAACAAAGTAAATTTACTTGATCATTGCACTTAAGTACTTTTTTGAGTATCTTTACTCTGCTTGAGTAAGTTTTGGGGTGGTAACTTTCACTCCATTACATTTCTAGGAAGCTGCTAGTTACTTTGTAGTTTTGGCTCAGCTTGATTTTGTAATCTGTTGTTGCTGTTTTTATTTCTTAAAATGCAGTTTCATCATGCAAAATAGCAGCCCTAAGTACTAAATTTTGACACCAATGTTTTAGAGATTTCCTGACATTCCAGAAATGTGAAAAACTAAGGGGCAGATATTGGAAATTCATACATTTTATTAAGGCGTGAGGAGAATCAAGGCACTTCTGTTATCTTTTTTTTTTTATAAGAAATAATCAAATAGCTAACTTTATTTTCTTAGGAATTTTCAATGCTGAAATTCAGGTACCACAGGTGGTGTAGGTATTTTATAGAATTTGTTGGTGGTTCTACACATCTGCTGGGTTCTGAAAGTTATGTGGTTCTTTAAAATGACTCTAAAAATTATACAGAAATGTACTGATATTCAAAAATTTTATTGATAGTTTTGAAATACATGTACTTTTAAATACTTAATTTCTTTCAAAAATGAGTACTTCAGTACTATAACTTGAGTATATGTTTGACCGATTAACTTTTACTTGTAGTTGACTAAGGTTTGACTATGAGTACCAATGCTCTCACTCAAGCACTACAGTACTACTGTTGAGTACTTCGTTCAACATTGCATGTCCGATCTGCTGAAAACAGAAGTTAAGACACTGTGGTTTGATGACACAGAGAAAACTTTCTGTTTCTCTGGGATCCTGTTTGCCTACCTGGGCCTTTGCTGCAGTTGTCTTCTAACTCTTTACTGATTTTGATTTCTGCAGCATTCACCTTCTTTGACCCCAACGACCCTGCATGTCAGGAGATCCTCACCGACCCCCGGACCACCATCCCCGAACTGTTTGCCATCGTCCGGCAGTGGGTCCCTCAGGTGCAGCACAAGATTGACATCATTGGAAATGAGGTGAAAAAATGATGCCCTCCCTTTTAGACTATTGTGTTGGTTGGGTCATAACAGCATAATTTCAAATGAATGACAAGACAGGATCTGTTTATTTTTAGCTAGCCTGACACTGTCACTAACTGTCACACCCGGACAGATTAGGAGCAATGCAACACCAGTTTTTACCTCCCAAGCAGTGGGGAGGTGTGTTGAGAATCCAAATGCAGAGACAGAAGCTGAGGTGGTTCTGTTGGTGCCATTTTTCTATTCAGTAATTTACGCACATATTATTTTTGGATATGTTTAGTATTTGCATATTATAGAATATTTACAATTGCATTATAACTACGTTACTGTTTTACACCGTTAATAATTTCCTTCTAGGTTAATCTGCATTCAGTTTAATGCTTAGATTAATTTATTGTTAGTCAATAGGAACTGACGCTGAACAATGACGTGTCAGAGCTCGGGCGTCTATGGAATGTAAAGAAAATAAAGACGGGGCAAACACACTTTTTTCTACCGTCGTTCAAACTCTTAACACGCGTAGACTCGTTCATTCCGTCTGGCAGAGTGGTTATTTGCATGCATCTGAAGAAAGAAATGGTCATTATTTTAAGCACGGACATTTAGCCACTACAGGTTCCTTGCAGAATTAATCACAGGAATGGGATTAAAGGGAACACATGATTTAAGGAGAGAATTAAGATAATCCAGGCAAAAGTAACTGCAGAGGAGGAGTATATATGGGAGGCAGACAATGAATGGCATAATCACCTAATTAGGAGCAGGTGTAGACAGAAGAGACTAGAAGAGATCTAAGGGCAAACGTGCACTGTATGAAATTTTTAATCTTTATATTCAGCTGCAGCTCAAACTGTACACCGCCGCCACAGGGTTTAAAATTTCACAGCTCACGATACGATCTAATGCGATCTAACTTCTCACACTGTACATCCAAAAAACATGTCGGAGCCCAGAGAGATGGCGCTGGTCGGACTCATCCATCTGGATGCCAAATGTAGCCAGTAGAAGCAGAAGGATTAATTTGTTTGCAGAGTGTGCAAGGTTCAGGTAAATCAGCTAGACACATGTAGCTCTGCTTCGATGAGACTGACACATGGCCCAATCCCAAAATCTGAAAAGGGCAAAAGCTGGGAAAGTGGGAAAGGAGAGTAGCAATAGGGGACAGCAGAGTCACCAGGGTAATACAGTAGTGCTTGAAAGAGTGTGGGGAAGGGACTGGAGAACTTAAGATAAATAATCCACAATGGGAAAACTTAATCTGAAGATAACAGAAAACTATAAATATCAAGAACTACAGCATGAATTCAAGAAATAATAGGAATGTTGAATAGAGAATATGTAAAAAAATAATAATAATAAAATACCTAAAATAAACACCAAATAAGAGTAAACTAACATGTAATTTAAAAAAAAAAATACTATTTTAACAGCAACACAGGATAAACAAAATCACTAGCAAAACCAAAAATGAAAACTTGAAACTGAATAGTTTCATGTGCTACGTGGTCCCAATGTAATTTCCCATTGGGAACCTACTAGCGCTAAGTTGATAACTGGTTCTGAGACACCAGCCAAAACCAATCTTGCCTGTGAACCTTTCGCTACAACAATCCCGCCCCCTTATTTATCTACCATTCACATTTACTATATTTACTCATGTAAAGTCGCGCACCACTTAGGAGAATTTGGAACTGCAATCCCTGGAACAGCCGCTTTCCTATGACTTTAAAGAGTTACTTACATTGTTATGACAAAAACATGAATAGTTTTGGTTTTTGTAAGCCACAGATAAAATGGCTTCGGACAGAGAGAGGCACAAGCTGGTGAGCATTATTCAGACGTTACAATAACTGAGCATGAAGCTGACTGAGAGTGGAAGAGGGAAAAAAATCCTGGAGTTGGCGGTTGCATGACTCAGAACCAGAAATTATTGGACAGGGATAAACTGAACAAACTGCTTCAGAATAAAAGTAACAATTCTTCTGCTGTGGTAAATGTCATTGTTTCTCTCTGTGTTGCAGTTGCTGCAACCACAAACTAAAGTATTCACATCCTTTGAACTGTAATTATTTCCCATTCCAACATAAAACACCCTGAAAAGAGGCTCAAGAACCTCCTCTGGCTGATTGTCTTTGGTCTGCTGGGGTTTGTCTCCAGCAGCTTTGAACGTCTTCAGGTTATTATGTGCTCGTGAAACATCATCAGCCTCAGCCTTAGTACTGTTACAATTCACAAGAACACAAGACTGAGAACAGACAAAGTCACTGGATGTTGTTCTCTCCTCTCCCTCTTTACCAAGTAAGCATTAGAGCAGACTTATCCCTTCTCGAGATGACAGCTCTCCCAGCATGCATAGCGGCTGCAGCCTCTTCCAGTGGAGCGCTCACAGAGCTCAGAGTATTAAGTTAAAGGTGTTTTTTTGGGTTAGGGTTTTGTTCTGTTACCGTTGTTCTATAAAAGTACATTTTAAGATAATTTGAGGTGAGAACATTTAAGAGTCAATATATGTCCCATTAACTGATTTAGTGCTTGATTTAAAAAAAGTTCAGATGTTGAGAGGACCGTGGCAACCAGCAGAACTGCGAGGCTACAGCAGCCAGGTCTAATGTCAGGGGTACTTTGCACACTGCATACTCGTCTGCGATATACTGCCGGCTCTGATGGCGAGTTTTTTTGTTTTATTTGGCAAATTTTTCATTTGATTTGTGTTTATCTGACTGTTTTACTTACTATTACCCAACTAAAAATGTAAGAATTTATTTTTATCTAGAGACTACTAATAACAGGAGGTGAAATGCAGCTCCAGATGAGCAGAGCGTGTGGTGACGTCACAAGCTTCGTTCCAATTTACCCATATTTATTCTGCGTACTCCTGTTCTTCCAGAGTCCATACATTCTTGTGTACAGACACAAGTCTGTACTCGCGTTCTTGTGAATTGAGAAACCGCCAGTTCTTCACTGTAACATGTGCTGGGTGACACCATCTGTTGTTTACAAACACTGCCAACCCACCTCCTTTGAATTTCCTAGTCTTCTTAGACTTAGATAGTTTTTATTGTCATTTTGTAAACACAGTGTATACAAAACAAAATTATTATTATTTTTTAACAGCTTTCAGACAGTAAATGAGCAGCAGCTTGGAAGTGAAATGAACATTTCCATCCGATAAAGTGCAGCAGTGATAAAATGTAAACCGTGTGGGTTTACATCAGTTCTTTAAATCTGCTCGTATGATCAGAAAGCCTGGCAGATAGACACTTGAGTCCAATGATGTGATCCTGCAGCTATGTTTCAGTAAAACATATAATGCTGCATTGCCGATATTCTGGCCTGGTCTTTGCTAGGGTTTGGAGTTCTTCTAAATTTTTTCCTAAAGAACTCAAATTCCCAATGATGATTTATGGAAGAGATGGTTTAAGTTTCTTCTTTACCTTGCTCCTGCTTTTCAACCTTCTTTATCAAATCAGCTGGTACTTGCTGACGTAGTTGAAGTATTATTTCAGCTTTCGAGATGTTAAATAGTTGCTCCTTTCTATGTAACTTGTTGCTCATAAGTTTCCTTAAAGGACATAAATATCAATAAAAATCCCTCCAGCATTAATCAGCATAGGCGAAAAATAAATAAAAAAAAGAAACTGATTCAAAAACTGGAAGGATTTAAATTATCTGAAAAAAGAATCTCAGTCAAGCTGGCAGAGCTACTCTAACATACAGGCACCTTAAGAAGTGCAATTCTAGAAAGTTTATCATAATAAATTATCATAATAATTTTCATAGAGCTATCAGAATAAAAAAGGAAGAAAAAGGGGATGCTTACAAATAAATGGCCTTTATTAAATGTTTTCACTAGAAATAAAGTAAAACTCAGCCGCTTGAGGTTGGAAATGTGGAAAAGGTAAAGGGATGGATGGATGGATGGATGGATGGATGGATGGATGGATGGATGGATGGATGGATGGATGGATGGATGGATGGATGG